AGCAGACAAAATATAAGTTCTGAGTACTTTTTGAAACCACGCTAGCGATATTACTACTGTAGGAGCACATTCGAGACGTGAAAAGTGGAAAAAGTATTCTCCAACATGTCTTCATAAGTGATTTTTTTCCACACAATGTCAATTTTGAACATATTCTGAACAATTGAGAATTGTACTCACTAACAGTTTTGAAGTCTTGCAAACGAATGTACATCCACTTATAGTGGGCTTTGGGAAGGACTATAGTTCTTCGATGATCAAATCTCTCAGTTAGTTTTTTCCAGAGAACCTGTAGATCCTTTTAAGTGAGATATTCAATTTTCAGCCCATCGTGAAGATGATGACGAAGGAAGATGAGTGCTTTTGCACAATCCTGTAGGGATACTTTATTTCCTTCTTTTATTATCTCTCCCAAACCTTTTGAGACAAGATGAATATCAGTATTGACCCATGATAAATTATTTTTGCCAGATATATCAACAGCAGCAAATTCGAGTTTTGTGATGTTTGCCATTTGATTAACTACACAATAAAGAAAATGATTTACACATCAAGAAGAAATTTCCTCTTATTTGCACTGAAATTTCATTCCCCAATTCTTACTTTTCCTTCTTTTGTATCAGAAACTTTAACAATTATATTATTTAGGGGCATGTTCGATAGTGATTATAACACATTGACCGAAGGCTTTCGTAGCCGATTATCTTGCCAAAATCTAACTTTTGATTTGGGACTTTTTCAAGAGCTCATGTAGTTCTCCTCAAATACAGCTACTCAAAGCTCTAATAATTTCCAATTTCAAATTTTTACAATTGTGAAATGATTATGTGGTATATTTGCATATTTACGAGGTTAATTGATGATTGAGACGTTAAGCTCAATTGTAACTATGGATGACTAAAATTGAAAGTAAATTGAAGTTTAGAAATGTTATTGCGATGAATTAAATAAACTTTTCGTGGATTTCCTTTCAAAAGGAGTTTTCTTTTAAGCACTAGTTGTGTGTCCTTGAGGGCCAATTGCACATTATGTAAAGGGAAACATAAAAAACACAACAAACAAACAGAGATATGTACAATATGAAGAAAGGTAGTGAGGGACTAATTGTTCAGGCACCTTTCGGTGGCAGTGTTTCAAAAGCCGAGACTGTGTTCTCGAACTTGATTCGATGCAGTGGCGCGCCACGTTGCTTAATTGCACAACCTGCTTGTCCTCTAACGGGCAGCAAGCTTTCAACATTGAAAATACGTGGTCATTCAGCCGTCTTGCTTTCTTCATAGCTTCTAATACGGCTTCTGAACTCTGTCAAAGCAACATAAAAATCGGTCGAAAATCAGAACTAACTACAAATTGGCGAAGAATTAGCACTACAAGTGCAGCCAGCATGAAGCAATCTAAGAATTTGTAGAGAAATACTAAGCAACAAAATAAGAAAAACACAAACAAATATAGATTTACAGTGATTGGTCCTTAATGTGAGAGCTAAGTCCATTTGTTGCTGCAAATTTTCAGTCGGAAGTTTATACAGACTATTGCTCATATGCAACTTTTAAGAGAATAGTTGAAATGACTATTTTTTGTGTTTTTAATTGAAAATCTCGATTTGCACCTTAAAAACATCAAAGTAAAGGCATCCAAAACAGGAATTTCAAAGCTCAAAACTTGCCTGGAAAACAATTGATTTCATACGTGCCAAACAATTGCCATACCAAAAGAACGAATTGACTCGACAAGGAAACCAAGTCAATGGATTGCGACATTTGAAGAAAAATAATAAAGGAATACTCGTATTTGCAAATCCCAATTGTTCTATTACAATTAACTACTCAAATTATTGAGTGGATGGATTCTATTCTTCTTATTTCATCCTCTAATTTGCTTCTGTGGGAGATTTTCTGGCTTCATCATCAAGAGATTCAACAAAGGACTCCACCTGATCCTCAACTTCTTGAACCTGCATATTTAATTTTTAGTCATTAAATTGTTCATATATACAAGTTCGACCTAGGAGCCCTAGAGGCATAAAATGTGAAAATAATAATAATTGAAGAAGAAATAATTGAAGAAAATGGACTGCATATCATTGTTATTTGATATGAATTTAATATTAAAGAGGAAAAATGATTAATAATTGTGTATTATTGAAAGACGTCACTCAACTTCATTTTGTTACGATTATTTATAATTTTATTTGTAGCAAAGTCATTCGGTCCAACTTTATTAACTTGATAAACGAAAAAAAAAATAAAAAAAATAACATTGACACTGATATTACAAAAATAAATCTAAAATGGACGCAAATATTAGAAAATGGTGTTAGTATTTTTAAATACTAAACTAACAGATTCAAACGAAGTGACTTAATTGCAGAGAAGTTATAAATTTATTTAGTGACTCTATATGGGCAAATTACAAGTCGAAATCAAGGCTTAAATTTGACAACTCTCAAAAAGTATCCTTCACATGTACAACGGCAACTATCTTTTAAAATGTTAAATCAAGAAAACTATTGAGTCAAGATTAAGACAAAATTATGTTTATTATTTAAAAAACAATTAGGTATACCTTGTCAATTAAATCTCCAATGGAATCAGCATTCTTAGCTGTTTTTTCAGCTATATCCTCAACATAATTTACAATGTTTTTGAGCTGTCCTTCAGGGAGATCATCCATTATATCATCTGCTATTTTATCAACTTTTTCAGCAACTTTCTCCACCACTTCCACAATTTGTTCTACTTGTTCCACGGCATTTTCAATTCTATCTGCACATTCCAAGATTCGAAAAAAGCTAAAACATTAGTCGAATAATCTCATTTAGAATAATTCCATGGGTACAGATAATTATTGATAGAAACGACACAAGTGCTGTGTTGGCAGTATTTGTATTGTGCAATTTCTGTATTTGTTGTGTTCAAAACCAATGAAAAACTATCAAGCGTTTTTCTGTAAGAATTTTGTAGCAAAACTGTTTCATTTAAACGCCTATGTTGTTTAAAGAACAGCAAGAAGCATACTCAAGTTCTGGGCTGTGGTGAAAGTTGACATTCGTCTATATTAATACCATGTTGTCGATATTTATATATTCAACCATACATAATCGAGTAAGTCTTACTTTTAAGTAACCCCAGTGGCCCCAATTTGTGTGTGAAGAAGGGTAGAACTATTGATACCACCATTCCCAGAATCCAGTTCCTACTGCATGAACAAATTAAGCAGAACATTTGTATTAATTAGATCAATAAATTAGATAGAAGAAATATTAATTGAATATACTCTTTCTATACATGAAAATTGACTCACATGGAGTTGGAAGGTGGTCCAGAAGGCGGTCCAGAAGGCAAGGGAACTCCTGGTACACTGCTAGCATAAACGATAACGTTCCTAAAACAAGATGAAACACATTATCCGTAGTAACATTAGACACGACTATCAAAGAAAAAAGTTAAAATCTCATTTATTTTCTTGTCCATTAGTACTCGATCTAATTAAGCATAACCGAACGAGATAATCGATCCAATAACTGAAATTACTTACCTTGTGTTCTTGTTATTGCATTGGACTAAACCGTCGCTCCAAAAACAGCTTTGATCCTTCCGTTCTGAGAAACCCAACTTTGAAATTGGATTCCAAGACAACATTTGAAACCTAGAATAAGACCTAATATGGAGGCCATTTGAACTGGATCCAACAATAAAGCTTGCCATTGACTTGACTAAATTAAGAATGTTTAGTTGTTATAAACTTTGTGATGAAAACCTGAGATTTGTAGCTGCTAATGTTAATTTTTAGTCCTCAACATAGATCTGTATATATAGGAAACAAAGTTGGATAGAGTGGTCTTCTTCTTGAAAAGAGAGAGTGAAAAATTTCATTATACAAAACATTGGAAAAAGAAAATGGATCTAAAAGAGCACATGCCAATGAAATTTGAAACTGTTGAATATGACAACGTGGCCCACAAGGTAATTATAATTAATAATTACTCGATTTGTATATTAAACCCCGTTTGGTAACTATTTTTTTCAAAATACATTTTTCTCTCTCTTCTTTTCAACCACATATTCTTTATTAAAATAATATTACACGTAAATCAAAAAATTTTCCTCATTTTTCAACCACACACTTCCCATCAAGTTACCATTTTAAAATGCATTTTTACATAAAAATGTCTATCAAACACCCCCTAAATTGGTACATCTTTGGATAAAATCAAAATTCTTGCTTACAAATAAGTTTATTGATCAATAAATAAATCTACCATACAAATGTCTTTTTCGTTTGTGAAATTTAGACATAAATAAGTTACATATTTTGACAACTGTTACTACTGTTAAAATGAGTAATTTTTTAGTTATAAGTAAAAGTAAAATAAAATAACAGAATATGTTTTGAAAAAAAAATTTACTTATAAGTAAGTTTAACTAACATGTAAATTAAATTGTATGTTCGAAATACGACAGTGATAAATTTTGTGATGTCTCTCTCTTTTGTTATTTTTATATATCGAATCTTGTTTCATCCAAGCTCTTAATATATAGGACAAAATTTTTTGACATGTTCTTGTATCTTGATTTCGATGCATGGTTTGAATTTCAAGGAAATATTTTAATCTTGGCGTTGCTGTTAGTAATTTCTTGATGCCTTCGCTTATGCTTGTATACATTATTTTTAATATTTTTGAAACATAATAATTCCATACTTTAACTTGTACCTAACTGCATGTTTGACCATTCATTTTCCGTGGAAAACGTGTTGTACAATTTGAATTTTAAAGAAAAGATAAATAATAAGTTGGTGACATTTCAATTGGGATCTTACGAAAGATAGATATATCGTAAGTGAATCAATAAAATGTGATAAAATAAGATTGAAGAAAGATAGATATATCGTAAGTGAATCAATAAAATGTGATAAAATAAGATTGAAGAAAGATAGGATATTCGAGGTTGAGGTGGTGACAGATATCACTTTAATATTGTAATAGAAATTGAACAATATAATAGGAAGCTCAGGAAGTAGTGTTGTTATCATCGTATTTTTGTGGGGAATTAAGACAAATTCTATTTATTTTTCTCAAACGGTATTTATATGTTGTTTAAAGAAGAATAGCAAACAAAATATATATATATATATATAAATAAGATGAAACATTGGTGGACGGTCAAAGCTCTCATTGTATGAAAAATTTGTATAATATATAGAATTTCACTCATCCAAACCTCCAAAATATTTTAAGAATTTTATCTGCTCGTGTTAATATATATAACCTCTTGTTTGAGCCTCATTCTTTTCAAAAAAAAAAAAAAAAAAAAAATTTTTAAAAAATTTTAACATCATTTCAACTATATATTTTTTAATAAAATAATATTACACGCAAATTCAAAAATTTTTCTTATTTTTTTAATCATACATTTGCCACTAATACACTGTTCAAAAATTCATTCTCCCCCACCTCCACCCAAAATGGGGTCAAACAAGGGCTGTATATGTGATAACTAATTACATGCCTGAGGATGTAAATCTTATTGAATAGACTTTATCACCGTTTCTCGTGAAGAGAGACACATTTGGCGAAGGATGTTTAATCTCTTTGACAGTAAGGCATTTTCAAGAATGTCCAATTATAAGGGTTGCAGTTGAAAAGTGTACTTTTTTTATAATCTTTGCAAAAATGTTCAATTTTTAGATCAAAATGTCTACTTTACCCTCATGAAAAGATTAATCAATTTTATATCACTTTGGCACAATTTTTAAGAAGAGCAAATAACTTCTACGAGAAGACACAATAATGATGCTATTACCTAAGTGAATCCACTTGCTTATATTTTTAATTATATTTTAATCAATTATTCTAGAACAAATGAAGAAGAAGCAAAAATTCCATTACCATATACGAAGAAGTATATGATTCCAACTTCAAAGAAATTATTTTAAGAAATTTACTGTGGTAGAAATTTGAAACTGATTAGGCTTTCATCATTTGTCAGTAGAAGGTATATTTTTTTGAACTCTATTTCTTCGAACTCTCATTTTTTTTGATAAGTTTTATTTAGTAGTTGTTGTTGTATATGTTCAAATCTCAATTTTTTGATAAAGTATTTTTTCCCTTGGACGAAA